CTAGTCATCACTACCCACCGCCAACTCTTGGGCTACTTATTAACAACAAATAGTGGGATTGACCATCACATTATAACGCCCCCACAGCTGAAAGGGCGAGCATGTTTGGTGTGACGGGGATTCGAACCCACGACCCGCATATTGCAAGTCGAGCGCCCTAACCACCTGGCCATGCCGGGCCCCTAAATAATAGTTTAGTAGTAAGTTTCACCGGGTTCCTTTAACTTCTTTGTTACTTTCTAGGTTGCCTAGTCAATAGACTTTTACATAAGTTCCATATTTTACACTTTGTCAGGAAGTTTAGACATTTCCTATAAAACTTTGAATAAATAAACAGATATTTTCAAAGTCTGTAGGCCCGAAAATTTTGTATATTTAAAATCTTCCATATATATATGCCTAATTTAGCAGTTTCCATAACGTTTTTTTTAAATAAAAACTTTATTATTGTAATTAACTTTTGATTTCTCTTTATTCTAGACTGATTAAGCAGTCATTCTATTTCTACAAAAACAGAGTAACAACACTTTAGAAGTAAGTAAACTTACATTAATAGTTAAATAATCACTCTTGTAGTACTTTACGTTATCCTTCTCTGAAAATTTGTCATAAACTGGATCAGGAAACATCCTGAATCTGTCAAAATCTGGATGATAACTAAGATTTTTTAATGAGTCCACATTATCCATCAAAAATCCGTAATGAAACTCCTGAGGATCACTTCTGCTAAAAGTTGATTGGTCAATGGGAACTACTGGGCTTTTACATTTCATACTCTTGGCCGATAATGCAACACAATGACCAGTATACAGCTCCCCGTTGACTTCCACATAAATCTGGGGTTCTTGGATAGTGTTAAGATAACTTCCTTTTACATTAATGGTAATCCCCCCACTGGGGATACCTCGAGGACCTTTCTGTCGTGAAGATCCTGCTTCTACATTACTCACTCTAGGATCATTTACATACAAAAACTGGTAGTCATCAAAACTGCGTAACCCTTTGTCAAATTTCACTCTAACTTTCTTTTGCCCAATTTTATCTGATGTTGGGGTAATACAATCAACAGAGTTTTTTGTCCGGCTATAAAGAGTAAAAAAAGTTAGTGTTATCAAAATTAAACTTAACTATCTACTATATACGTGGGTAAGGAAGCACATTATGCTAATATAATAACAGGTAAGCAAGCAATGTTTTATGAGCGTAAGTAGAAGTTTTATTGATGGTGGAACATACTAGATCTTTCCACAGAACGTTGGTCTGTCTTCTTCAGGTATGATCAGTACTAAGCAATCCAAGGGACATGATAACGGCCCCAGCAACATCAGTCGTGTTTGATAAGGTCTATTCACTGTTCGTAAATTATATAACCTATATCCTCTCACTTGCTGACATCATTTCCGTCACATTTAACCCCTATTGTATTTTTACGATATATATATAAACCTTGGATTGTTTAGTACTGGTCATACCTGAAGAAGACAAACCAATGTTCTGTCAAAACATCTAGTATGTTCCACCATCAATAAAACTTTTCCTTAGACTTATAAATTGTTGTTTGCCTACCTATTATTACGTCTACCAGATAATTAGATTAAACCACTAAATCTATTAAATCTAATTATAGTTATGAAAAAAAAGATTACACCAATTTAAAAATTTATTGTAAAGTTTCAAATTGTAATATGGAGTTCATATTATATGATTATATTTCATATGTAATACATTTTAACTATAAAATGTCCAAAATTCAAGCACCATGTTTCACTAGTTTCTGAAAATAAAATTTTTGCCGTATAATACAGGCTCAGGTTGATATACTAACAGGAAAAAACTGTATGTTGATATCTAAAAAAGTAACTACAGCCCAGTTATCTTGTGGAATTTAGACATTTAAAAACTTACTTTGTGATTACACACTTAAGGGGGCCAATAGTAGCTTCAGCAGTACTGCCTGCATTCATGTGGATTCCCCATATTCTTAGGCGTGTACCGCCTGACTTGGGTCCTTTACTAGGGCTGATAGACTTAATTTCTGGATTCTACAAATGGAATGGAGTTCTTTGTTAAAATGTCATTTTGGAACAAAAGACACAGATTTTGGTGTTTAATATAGCATCAAATACAACACATAAAACTCGCACCCAGACAAAAATATCTGGTTCTTATCACAATAATTTCAAAATTCTGTCTTTACTATATGATAAAATAAAAACTGTGCACATTATTGGTGTTTTTTTTGTCTAGAAGACCATGACTTACAAGTTGTATAAAAATTCAGTCAGATCCGAATGAAATAATAAATTTTGTGTTAAACCAACTTACTACAAATTCATAATTCCTAGGTGATGTTGCAGAGTGGTCATTCGGCACTTTAACAACAACAGGACCCAAGATAGATACAATGTTCGATGAGTGGGAAGTTCTTTCTTGAGGGCTACCCACTTCGCAGACAATCCTAGGGAAAACAAAAGTGTCAGTATTTTGTACTTTGGGAGTAGTACTTAGAACCGCAAGAAAACAAGTACTATAAAAATATCATTAACAGAATAATATAAAATAGCTAACAGAATGTCTAGGTTTACCAGCCTTTCTATAGTACAGCAACATCCATTGTTAAAAACAGTTATATTTTATTTGATAAAATGTGATCTGATAAACAGTATTGGCTCATAATGTAAATTACACATATGTGTAGTATTCAGTAATATTTTTCTGCTGAAGATTGCAGAAGAAGTAAGAAAAAAACTGATACTCTATCATTTAAATATGACAGAATTACTAACTATAAAAGGGCTTATTCTCTTGTCACTCTGTTGAGAACACTTTCATGCACCTTTTTTTTTGTAATACACAACAATATACATCATTGCTTAGCAACAAAACTATCATCTGATTGTTCTTAGGCCAACTATGGTGTTTATGTTGAATGCTCAATATTCATATAGATTTGTTAGAAAGGTTTGTTTTTCATTCTTTATTTTTTTGATAACTTTTATGATATAACAGCAAAATAGTTTAATTCAGAAGTTTTATAACATTGAGTTGTAGTCAAAACTAAAATAAAATTTACCAAGTAGTGTTTCAGCTAAGCCTTACATTAGGCTTAGGCTAATGCATAAATTAGACTACAAATAGGCCTACTATTACTAACGTTATGGAGTTAGTGTTTAAAAAGTTTTAAGTGGTGAATAAATGTTAATTAATAAATATTCTTTTGGTATTTTAACATATATGTTACCTACTTGGCCTTAAAACATAAAGAAAATAAACGTTTATTACTACCAAATATCTATTACCCTAGTACAGTTTGAAATTTGTGTCGGAATGTCCGCACAATGTTTTCTACTTCCTGACCTAGAATACAGTGAAAAGGCTTAAGAGTGCTATTTAAGTCTCTTTCAGAGTGCACACATACTTTTGTTCAAGATAACATTTCATTTTTACTAAAAATGTGGTGATTAAAGAATTACTTTGAGACTGATGAAATAAGTGAAGAGTAGGTGGATATTGGAGGTACAGACAAATTCGTTTTAGTTAAATTCTATAATTTTTGTTAGTCATTCAAAAATGGTTTCCCATTGTTTTGGACAGGCTTTTATACTAGTAATGCTATATTTGTAATTGTTTTGGACAGGTTTTTATACTAGTAATACTATATTTGTAAGAAATCTCTGAAAACATTGGGTAGTAACTAACATACAAATTATAATGATACTCTAACACATATAGGTTTAACCAACAAACAAAAGATATTATATGTAGAAAATGATAGTTATAGTATTTCCAAAGGCAGTGCATTTCTGATAAGAATTTTATCTTAGATAAACAGATTATGTCAAAAGCAATTGCAACTATTATAGAGTGACATGTACTTCAACATTGTCTACTGTCTGTAAATTCTTTTAAAATAGACTATGCAACATAATCTGCATTTTGTACACATACATGTTTGGAGTATAAGACAGATATCTGACCTTGTGGTTTTCACGTACAGCGCACGAAATGGTTTGCAGGGAATGTCGATTCGACCGTGTTTGCTATCAGATACTTTGACAGTAACACCATTTACTATGTCTTCAAAAATTCTACCAAGGTTGATCCCATCAATTGTGATGTTGGTGCCACCTTCTATAGGTCCAGAAGCAGGGGTGAACTAAGAAATTAAATAGATAAAAAAATAAAAAATATCATGTCTCTCAAAGTTCAAGTTATGAAACAGTTCTGTAGAAAAGATATGACATAAGCAATAATCTTACAAGCCCCGTTTTTCTGCTTTTTCTCTGACAGTTAATGTTAAGAAAGGACAGAAAATGAAATTATAATGTGTTCATTATTAAAAAGAAAAAGATTAAAAACATATTTTGGCCAATTATTAACAATATGTAGTTTATAGTATTCAAACATTAACCTATTTAAATGAGTTTAACACTCATATTTTGTACATCTGTTATTCACTACAAACACATTATAAAACCAGAAAGTTATCAAAAGTTTTAAATGTTAATTTTTATGTATTTCATGCCAAGTTCTATCCATTCTGCTTTAATCATTTCAATACTGTCTGGTTATATTTGTCCTAGCATATGTCTGTGCAGGACTGATTTACAATATTATAATAAGTTCTTGCATTACTTTAACCGCAGAATGTGTATGTATATATATATATTATTACGTATTACAATTAATCCTGGACAAGCCTCCAATATAATACATAACGTATTATAATTTTGAATAGTCTGAGACTGAGTTAAATGATAATTTTGATTTAGAAATCAAATAAATGTCGATTGTATCCAATTTATGATAGTTGCCAAGAAGATTGATACATACAGTTTTTTTTTAATACAAATATATTTTAGTATACAAACAATAATACAATTTACAATAACAGTTATTACAAATAATGATCTATGTACAAAAGTTTTACAAACAATATTGAGGCCTCTACCTGTCTGGAACTTCCTTGATATCTTATTGAGGGTTGACGATGAACGAATTAATTTTGAGATGGTGTAGATACAATTGATTTAACAGAGAACTAGCTAGCTCTGTTCTTTGTTGTTCACCGGCCACATGCCAAGTTATCCACTGATGAAGTTATATAATGTTTTTGTAAAAGTACTAATGTCCGACATGAATCTGCTGAAGTTAAATGGTTTGTAATATTCAAAATCTATAAATGTTCCTGATCAAATATCTGAAGTTCCTGATTAATAAGCATTATAACAATCACAGTTATAGCTTCCGAGGTTTATAGCAAACTAATAATATATATATATTGTCTTTTGGTGTGGCACGTTAGTTATATTTATAGGCATGAGCAGAGTTTCTCAAAATTTTAGCTTACGCAACAATATAAACGATACACCAGTGTTTACATACACACATATATTGTTGATTCTTACACTCGAGAATATTCTACAATTTTAGTGAACAGGTGGGAATTTTGCAATACAATAAAGTGTTTCCATAAGTAGCTGCTGAGACATTCCAACAATAATACCTGCTGAGACAATCCAACAATAATACTTGCTGGGATACATGTAACTCCACAACAATACTTGCTGGGACATGTGTAACCCAACAATACCTGTTGAGACAATGTAACCTAACAACAATACCTGTTGAGACAATGTAACCTAACAACTATACCTGCTGAGACACATGTAACCCCATAACAATACTTGCTGGGACATGTGTAACCCAACAATACCTGTTGAGACAATGTAACCCAACAACAACACCTGTTGGGGACACTTTAATTATGCAAATTTTAGAAATCTTCCATGGTAAAATTTTCAAAGAATGTAGAAAGCATTCCTTATGCATCCTAGGTCATTTATACTTTTCCTATTTTAATGAATACAAAATATAGTACAAACGTTCGAACCATTTCTATATCATGAAAAACAGATTATTTACCTATCTTAAAAGCCAATAGAAATGGCTAGATGACACTGAATAAAAACTACGTTGTTTTTCCAGTCGATTAACAATCACTACAGAGTTAATGATACCCCAGCAAGTGATGATTTTTAATAAAAAATTTGTCCATGCGATAAAAGGCTACTGTATAACCACTATTCTAAAAAATTAACTATTATATATATTGCTGTATGCATGCAGCTTGGAACCTCCACAAAAGTTTACATTGACAGCTTCGGAACACAGTAAAAGAAGGAGAAGCATGACTTTTAACAGAAGTGGTCAGAGAAAGTAAGTAGTGACGAAATGGAGCAACTTACAAAGTGAATTTGTGGGTTGGGACATGATTGATTCCTGTCTAACCACCACGAGTTTCCTTTACACGTCTCTTTCACCTGACATGATTTGCTCTTCTGACACCAGCCACATCGATATTTTTCAGGAAGCTCCAAACATATTCCACAATTATTAGCCATTCCTTGACATCGGTACACCAGGGCTAGAAGACATAGAAACATATAATTAAAATGATATACTGATACAAGAAACTGTGTGAGGAATAAAAAGTCGGTGGAATTCAATTTAGCATACAGCATTGTAAAGTTAATGATTTGATAAAATCAATTCAATAGTCAACACTCACCGTGTATGTTTTCTGGGTTGTCCAGGGGTTTGTTACCTTCCCAGATAACAGCAAACGTTGCTGATACATTAGGAGCTCGTGTGCTGTAGGTGAACTATGAGAGAAAAATATTAAACTATAGTGGTAGAACTTTCGAACGAAGAAGATGATGATATTATACCATGTGGTAAAATTAAAACTTTCAAAAATTACATGATGATTTACACAAAACTTTTACGTATCTTCAATTATATTTATATATATTTAAAATTATAAACATATATTAACAGGCCCCTCACTAACCAGTGGGAGACATTTTTGTTGGAAAAAACAAACAAACGAAATCTGGTTTTTCTTAATTTGAAATGAAATTTTTTGGACATTTTTATTAGCATTGGGGCTGCAAAAAGTGATTTGAAGTGGTAAGGTGACTGAAATCCTTCAGCACATCACGAGCTTAATGGCCAAGCACAAGAAGCATGGAAGTCTCCGAATGACACACAGAGGTATTCATGAACCGTTTAGAACCACTTTCGTAAATATTCAACAAATTGTAGTGTAAAGACACTTCTTGGCTCCTGAGGGACATGTTAAAAAAAACAACTAATTTTTTAAAGACTAGTATAAGTGTATGCTGTTAAACTTAGTAATAAACCAGAACCTTCTAGGTTTCATTTTAAAGGAATTTGCAAATTAGTTTATTAGGATAATGTTGTTAAATTAACTTTGAAACAAAATAGTAACATTTACTTTAAAACTGATAAATTCTATAGTTTAAACATATAAAAAATTAATTAGCGAGCGAGATGCGAAAGTGTAAATGCAAGTTTTATTTTCTAAATAAGATTTGCTTCTCAAGTGTTTCTAAGTTGCTTTGAGAACAAACTAGATTAAGTTTCAAGCGTAAGTTTAGAGAGGAGTTACTATAATTAAGACAGCGTCTGATGCCATAAAAACCAGTTCAACAGAAGTTAAATTACAGGAATTGTAAGAAGCCGAGACTTAATTTTATTTCAGGTACATTACGCTACTGTATATTAAGGTTAAAAAACAAAACCAACATTTTCTGACACATTTTAAATAACACGGTTACCATCATCAGGGCTTCTGAATAGGGTGTTATATTAAACTCCAAGGTGACTGAAACAGCTAATAGAATTTATCTTTCATTTACTTTTTAACAAGCAGAACTTTTTCTATTTTCTTAACCCCTTCCAAGATTTGCCCTACGTAACTCAGGCATCCTCCATGTTTGAAAAAACATATCTGCCCGAGTTAATTCAAGCAAACTATTTCTCACAGTACTTTTTATTATTTGCCCAAATGTATTTGCATATTATCATGTATTACAGTCAGTGCTCGCTAGATGGCACTAGAAATGCTCTTTGTTCTTGTCCCTGTGAGATTTATTCTGAATGATGTATTACAAACACTGGAGAAGAGATTTCCTATTCTTTATTGTAGTTTCACTGAAATAATATATATATATATCACCTATAAATCCACCCACGTAGCACTTATTTATGAAGTATATTTTGTAGTAGAAATATAATAACAGTTCATAGAATAACCTTTGTTTCATAAATATAGAAGTATAGGTTAAAAAAGTAATAAAAAATCTGACATTTGTTTAGTTCATTTCCAAAAAAAAAACAAAACCTGATACATATCTGTACTACATAAATATCCATATATGTGTAGAGAGAGAGAATTTACATAAATGTAATTAATTACTATTAGACCTACAGCTAAATGCCGCATGTCATGAATACAAAAGTATTATTATTCAAATGAGCTCGAAACGAACATTCCTTATTAAATAAAAACAAAAAAATTATATTATGTAATTAAAATGACGTTCCATAAAATAGTTTTTTATGATCACGTGAGATGATGTCGGCCTTAATTAAACAAAAGAAAGTCCTGTAATAGAAAAACAAGTATTTTTAACTGAACAGCCTTCTGTTCCAAAACATCTTGGTAAAAGTGTATATATATATATTTTTTTTACTTATTCCTTTAGGAACTTTTTGATATAAGTATGAAATATAATAAATTATATAATTAATGTAAAATCACAATCTTAAAAAGACAATCTGTATCAGTGTATTACAACAAGATGTAAGCTCTTTTTTTTTAATAGGGTTCTTTTAAGAATTTGTATTTCATTACAGATTTCTCATGTGCATCAAGAAATAATCTTAGATAATTGGAAGTTTGGAGTAAAAACCATAAAACCAGTCTCATATTTCATCACATTATCCCTGTAACACAAGTACTCCTTAATGTTATCCCTGTAACACAAACATTCCTTAATGTTATCCCTGTAACACAAGTACTCCTTAATGTTATCCCTGTAACAAAAACATTCCTTAATGTTATCCCTGTAACACAAACATTCCTTAATGTTATCCCTGTAACACAAGTACTCCTTAATGTTATCCCTGTAACACAAACATTCATTAATGTTATCCATGTAACACAAACATTCCTTAATGTTATCCCCGTAACACAAACATTCCTTAATGTTATCCCTGTAACACAAACATTCATTAATGTTATCCCCATAACACAAGTACTCCATAATGCTTTTCCCGTAACACAAACATTCCTTAATGTACAAACATTAAACACTTACATTCAACTCGCCACAGTAGATAGTGTCCGATAAAAGTTGTGCGTCCACTTGTTTAACTCGCCCTTCAATGTTAAACTGACAAACAAACCTTGTAGATGGAAGAAAAAGCTGTAGAATATAAACACAAGTTTCTAGACCAAAACAGTATATCTTGTTTCACAGGAAAACATAATTTTACAGCATAAAATGACAACAATAAGTGACTAAGAAAGGTTCAGTGTTTCATCCTAAATGTTGGGATATGTTGTAAGAAAACAACAAAATACTCAGGTATCAAGTATTTTCTGGTAATTAAAATAGAATGGTAAGTAAGTAAGTAATAATTGAGTAAAATAGAATGGTAAGTAAGTAAGTAATAATTGAGTAAAATAAAATGGTAAGTAAGTAAGTAATAACTGAGTAAAATAGAATGGTAAGTAAGTAAGTAAGTAATAACTGAGTAAAATAGAATGGAAAGTAAGTAAGTAATAACTGAGCCATGAAAATATTCAATTTTTTAAAATGATAAAACAACAAATAATAAGGCATGTAATATTTTTAAGTAATTCAAATACATTAGCAATAATTCAAAAGTTATATATATATATATTGAAAAACAATATATATATATATAAAGGAAAAAGAGTAAAACAATCTTCAATACTTTTTTCAGCTCAAACTCATGTGGGCCAATTTTTCTTAAACTATTTACTAACAATGCTGTCAACTTGCTCAAAAACTTGCTATTAGTAAGTCAGCTGCTTCTGAATTCAGCTACAAGAATTCTGAGATTTAACAAATAGGTCAAGATATAAAGAAGTCAATTACACAGAAGTCTAATACATTATCTCTTGCTTTTAATGTCTTAGTTATGGCAACTTGTCAAGCAATGTTGGTTTGAACAAAATACAAGAAGTTTAATATACTACTTGGAGAAAAGATGCTCTCTGCATCTTACATAAAAAGGTAGATTCTACTTTTCACAGATCAGAAATAAACATTTCCAGAGGCAAACTTTGATTGCCTTTTTTTTTTTTTTTTGCAAGATGATCATAAAGAAAATCCCAAATTTAAAATGATTACTTTTATCTTAAAAACCACTTGCCCTAAGAGAACCAAATTTCACAAGAGGCACATTAACGATCATTAATTTCATTCTGCAAAGTTTTGACACGGTACAGGATGTTTCAAAAACCATCACAGAGAATGTTCCATAAGCTTTTCATCATTCTTAGTCCGGTTACTGAGTTTATCCCTAAACAAAGTTACCGTAAGAATCATCCATTCTGAATAGTGTGCATAAATCCTTGGTATATTTGTAAATTAACTATCATTTTAATCAAGCCATTACTCTTGTATTGCTGAAAAAAAAAGAAATAAAAGCCATGTCGGTGTGGGAAAAAATTATGCAGCATAATATGGTTTTGAAACATCCTAAACTACGTCCACACTTTCCCGAATAACCATTTTAAATGCGAGATTTCTTGTGCTCATAATTATCCTGTACTTATTATTGTGAAAAACATTCTCTCGTCAAAGAATTAATCGATTTATTCGTTTTCTCTGTCACTAAAATCTTTTTTTTTTTTCAAGTGAAGTTTGAAAATTATATTGGTAAGATGTAAAAGCTTAAACACACACACACAAAAACAACAACAACATAAATATGTGTATATACATCTACATCCTATTCTGTCAAGGATAAATTAATTAAGTACAAATAACATTTCTTTCCTAACAGCAAGGCTTCACCTGTGTATTCTCTACTCTTGCCTGGATGGCCTTTCTAATACCCATAGGAACAAGAATTTCAGTAGAACTCCCAGCTGTAACATTAATCATAGGACAAAATCCAGGTCCCGATCTAATGCTAGGACCAATACTCTATCAAGGAAGAGAAATTCTTTTTAATTAATTGATCTTACAAAGAAATTATCATGTAACCAACAGTTAATTTTCTTTACATTCTCCTACACTTACTTCACAAATTGTAAATCACAGAGAACATGAACTTCATATGTTTCCAAATACGGATACAGGTCCGTTTGTTTGTTATTAAGCACAAAGCTACACAATGGGATATCTCTACTGTATCAAAACTTGGCTTATAGAGTGGAGCCCTCAGCCTTACTACTGAGCCACTAGGGAGCATGAATATAGGAGTTTCCCTACCTGAACCAAGTAAACATTAAAACTTAATATCAAATTGTGTTATTTCATCAAATGACTCTACTAGTTCCAAAATAACAATAGGTCGATAAAAATAAGTAGTGTTTGGTATGAATAAAATTAACACTCTTCAACAAAATAACATTTTTTATTCAGTTATCATTACTATTTCGCTAAACATGTGTTCCTGTGAAATGTATATTTCAGGTTACTCTCAACTTATATCTATATCTTACATCATTATTGCTCGTATTACATTTCTAATAAAGCTAAGCCTAAAAATCTGTTCAACGTACTTCTGTATCTTACATCATTATTGCTCGTATTACGTTTCTAATAAAGCTAAGCCTAAAAATCTGTTCAATGTACTTCTATATCTTACATCATTATTGCTCGTATTACGTTTCTAATAAAGCTAAGCCTAAAAATCTGATCAACTTATTTCTATATCTTACATCATTATTGCTCGTATTACGTTTCTAATAAAGCTAAGCCTAAAACTCTGATTAACTTACTTCTATTCCAGTGACTAAAATGTCATTGCGGCAATTTTCTCCGGTGTCATGAGTACACCGGTGGCCTCCTACACACCAGTCACAAGGGAAACGACTGGAGACACATTTGGTGCATCTGTTTTAATATAAACTTGGTGGTTACACTTATGAATACCACATAACAAGCTAACGCTACTTAGATATTCCTGACACTAAAAAACATCATCATAAGTTCACTAGTAATTTTATTTCAGAAAACGTAACTTAATAATAAGGAAAAACACAAACATAATTACATAAAGAATTTATTAGTCTATCTTCAGTAAGCTAGAGATACGAAACAAACACAATGGTAATTACACCAGAAATATGATATAATCTGTAATAAATAATAGTAAACAAACTGGATACAAAAAAAAAGAACAGGAGAAAATTAACAGTATGTAGTGCAAATGAAATCTTAATTAATACAACTTTTTTCATTTGCACTACACACTGTTAATTTTCTTCTGTTCTTTTATTGCATTCAATTTGATTACTATTATTGATTACAGATTATATCATATTTCTGGTGTAATTACCATTAAGCTTCTTTTGTACCTCTAGTTCAATGAAAGTGTAATTCTGAAGATTCCGAAACATCTAATAAATGCTACGTGTAATTATGTTCGTTTTTCTTTATTATTGTAAGTTCAATGAATATAATGCCCAGTAGCAATGAGTCATCCCAATAAAAAACACACATAACTCTTAGCAAATATTGCCAAACTAACTGTATAAATACAACAAATAATTAATTAGTGAATAATCAAGCATTACAATAACTCAGAAGTAAACGATGTTAAAATTTCACTTGAAACTCACAAAATGAACAAAGCTGACAACATCTGTGATATTTAAACTCTCTCATAAAGTTCATTTCTTCAGTACTGGATACAATGAATAGTTTCTTGGCATTCACACAATAACTCCAAAGTAATCCAAATGACAATGAAACAGTAAGATATGACTTCAAAGCTTGATAAACAGCAGTTTTTCTTTCTACAAAATACATACAAATTATTGAAACCATTAAGAGTCAGTGACTTTGAACAACTGTTCTGTTTTACAGATTCAAATTTCAACTTACGAACTGTAAGTGCTGCAGTCGTAAAAAGTAAAATTTGTTGCAACGAAGTCTGGACCCGTTTTCATCCTCACAGATAACTTGGCAGTAAAATGATCTGTAAAAAAAAATGAAGAGGTCAAAATAGACATCTTTACGAACATAGTATGTATTTAAGTATTTGAAATATACAATTTTGCTAATTATATTTCCCCAAAAACGTTTAAAGACAAATTCCATTTAATAAACACTTTGAATTTATCAATCTTAGTGGAGAATCCCTTCAATACTTGCAAGCCCTTTATCTATAAACTATACAAATGTTAAAAACATATAATGCTTACTCACGTTAGGTTCAGATCAACGTACATAGCAGTTGATGATAAGAAATATATGTTACGGTTACAAAAATTAAATTGTCTATAAATGTGGATGGAAGACATAAAGACTGATTATCTCACAAGAATATTTTAAGGTATAACAGCAAAGATACTAGGCAATTAGTGACATGTTAAAGTTTTTATCACCCCTGGGCCCATTCAGAAGTGCACCTCCCTGACTCCGTGAACCGGACGTAGTCACACCCAAGAGCTTGTTTTTTTAAGTTAAGGAGAAATCTTTATTGTTTGTTTGTA